TATGTTCCAAGTAAAAGAGAGGGGTCATACCGAAGTGCGCACGAACCTCCGTTGACCGCGACTCTAGATCTCGCAGCTCCATAATAACACCGACCTTCTCGCGCGAGGTGTACCGTCTCCTCAAGGCTGCTCCACACGTTTTCTTTGGTGGCGACTCCGTTTGTGAAAAGCCGTCGTTCACGAGGTTGTTGTTCCGCTCGGCTCCAGGGCGTAAAGGCTGCAGCACAAACGTCACGGACCCTGGCGGACATGTCGCGCCGCATCCGCAACTCTCTCCATAGTGAAACGCAACGTGCCAGCAACGTCCTGACGGTGTCCCACCCCAAGGAAGGAGACATGATGCCCCCGCCCCCTTCCTGTTCGTTGAACACCACCGTTGAACTGAGATCTTCGCTTCACGCTCGTGGTCAGTTTTGATGTGCACCCCAAGGCCCTGGGTATTGAAAACACGACGGTTGCACTTCGTACAAGGCACTGTCGGTTGAGACGGTGGAGGCGCGGCGAAATTGATGTTCNTTCGCTTCACGCTCGTGGTCAGTTTTGATGTGCACCCCAAGGCCCTGGGTATTGAAAACACGACGGTTGCACTTCGTACAAGGCACTGTCGGTTGAGACGGTGGAGGCGCGGCGAAATTGATGTTCGCGATCTCCTCCGTGCTGCCGTCCCCACGCGTACGCACCACCTGCACAGAAATGGGGGAGGGAGGGCATCGGAGGGCGGTGGTATTGTTCATTCCTGCTCGAGTTTATTATTTGTTGTTTGAAGGATAGCAACATAAACTCGTTCAACAAAGAGTGCTGCCGCGGGTAAGGCCAGCACAGCAGCATGTATGAAGACGCATGTCGGAAAGGGTTGACAAAAAAAGAGTACGGAGGCACGCTGGCGACTTACTGCTACAGGTGCGTGCAGAAGCGGCTCAAAAATCATTTATATGCGGCATTTCAACAATAAATTAAGTGTTGGGATCATTCACGTGGTTCACAGCAGCACCGGTATGATGCACATCGAAGACAAAGAATAGCAGAAGAACTCACGCAACCCGAAAGGGACTCACAACACGGAGCATTCGATGCCAACAATACATACATGCAGACGTTAATGTGTATTTTGGACAAAAATGAAACAAAAACAAATTGAAAAAAAAAACTGGTCTGTCCGCATCTCGGTGGCGTTGAATATATTTTCAAGTATCGCGCGAGACCCTCTCGTCGGCACACACAAACATATTCTCCGCACCGGGTTGCCACTGCCTTTAGCGAAGGCATTGATGATGTTGTGAGTTCCTGCCGGCGGGTTGGATGCTGCCCTCCCCTTTTTCTTGGCTGATGCTGTTGAAGACGACGATGATTTTCGCTTCCGCCCTACGAACTGCTGTGCGCTTGAACCAGCAGCCGATTCAGGAGGGGTTGGCACCGGGGTCTTTTTCTTGAGGTGGGACGCCACATGTTCGTTGAGATGCTGCACATGCTCCTCCAAAGTAAGGATATCGGAAGACCTCAAACTCCGCAGCTCTTCAATGCCTTTCCAGAAATCGTGAGACAGGGGCTCGTTGTTTAGAAGGTGCTTCTTGATGTTCCCGAGCTGGCTCGTCGACAGTTCTTGTTGACCTCTGAGGGTGACCAGCTTGGTCAAGCCCTCACGAGAGTTGGCGGAGAGAACCATCAAAGCCGTGTACAGTAGACAGCATGTCGTGGTTCGAAGCCTGTCTGGTGTGCTGTGCCAAAGCGTTAGCGCCAGCACACCAGAAGAGAGCGTGTCAGAGCCCGCAGGGGGTCGGAGGGGGCGCCGCAAAAAACAACACTCCCCCTCGTCGTACAACTTAAAATAAAAATATTGCACTACTGAGAGTCGTTGCTAGATTTTGGCATTCAGCAATTGACATACGGTTTAATGTGAACACAACAACAACAACAACTGTATGGGAGGGGGGGGTCGGGGGAGAGGGGGAAAGAACGAGAGAGCTGTGGGGTTTGTTTCTTATTCGACACACTCCCCCGTAAACCCTCGTTTCTTATGTAGTAGGGTAGCGGTCACCCCTGTGTTTCTTATTGAGACATTTCTAATTGTGTGACCCAGGTTGAGCTATGGTTCTTAACCCTATTTTCATATTTTCGTGAAAAAGTGAGCCTCAACTTCTGAACAAAATATTTCTTAATTGCGGGCGCCAACTGTATTGTACGCTGGTCGTTGAACGCTTTGGTTGTTGTAACTACTCTCGGCTCCCGGATGTGTGTGTCAGTTGCAGCCTTCTGACTGACGTGATTCGAGTGTACATGCGACTTCACGACTACGACTGAAAGGAACGGCTGGCCCTTCTCCTCGAAAAGAGTTACAAGGTCATGCATGTTGTGATTGTACTAAGCAGAGATCGGTATCATTATTCTAAGACTGCTGTCATAATTTTGTGTTGTTGTTGTTGTTGTTGTTGTTGTCTTCACATTAAAAACCATCCCGGTCTCTCTATCCAGTACCTCCTTCTGTCTCAATCTCTCCGTACTAATCCATCACTTGACTCGGCCAATTTCCGTGGTCACAGGCTAACGTACCTAGAAAAGGTATACCAAAATAAAATGGACCCCAAGGGTCAGCAGAGCGATAAAATACAAGAAAACAAAATATAATCAGAAACAAATAAAATAAAATAAAATAAACAATTAGACTAGTGGAACGGCCGCACCACCAGCCTGGGGGGGTAGCCTCCCACTACATGGAGGCAGGTCGACGGCCAAAGGAAGGGGCGGGGGTACGTGCCAGTAAAGGTATACGTTCATGTCAAGACGAAGGCGTCCAGAAAACGGACGTACCGAAAGGCGGGGACTTCAAGACCGGAAAATAGACGGGACCTTGCGCACACGGAGGGACGGACGTGTCCCGAACCCACATCGCATGTGTGTATCGTTGTACAAATCAGAGGTCACTTTCCAGCACACGAAGCACGCACCATGACCTTCCATGAAGGTCGGGGTATCTTGTTGAGACCTGCTGGTCGGAATATGTTTACTATTCTTCAACAGAAGATCCATGTATGTAGATGATGATGAGACTCAGCTCGTGGTGTACAAGATCAATATCCGCGAGCGACCATCCACAAACAAACCCAGTCGTCACCACAACCTTCGATTCGGATTCCGAATGCAAAAGTGTGACGTGCAAAGTTAGCGGAAAATAGTGGAACCCGCATGGTATCTATGGTGGAAACAAATACTGTTCCTGAAGCATGCACATGTACCTGGTAGCGACTGCTCGATGGTGCCATCCTCGTAAACTGCGTACGCACGAACAACGCCGAGTCGACATGTAGTCGAAATCAGCACGGCCGTGAGTGCAGCAAAGCGACCACCCGTGAAAGAAGCCGTGCGACATTCCCGCGGCGATGCATGCTCGCGAGATCGAGCCTCCGGCGGCGTGGTGCCTTGCGGCGGACCTCCGGCCGTCATCGCTCGCCGCCGCCGCCGCCGCCGTCGTACAGCCGGTATCATGACATGAAAAAATGACGCGGTTTCGTTTTTCTACCCCCCCCCTCTCTCTCACCGTCGCCTACGCTCGTCTTCTTGTGGACCCGCGTGCGTTGCCTGCATGTAGCAAGAAATTCGTCCACTTGGCCAATGCAACAGCAGCGAACACCACCCCGCCACAAACAACGCGCGAATCCCCGACGGCGTTCCGGCCGCCCATGCAAGAGCATTCTTTCGTCGCTTTTTTTCTCGAATACACGTCTCCTGAAAAAGATGAAACTGTCGCCAAAAAAAAAAATGTACTCGCGTAGTCTACACGGAGCAGGTCAGGTGCCCAAGTGAGCCACACAACAAAAGCATTATTCCATTTTGAAATCATGGGCTGTGCCCAGAGCTGCCAGCAGTCCAACAGATTAGGCAGCGGCGGCGACGGCCGGAGCGGTGAACGAGACGGCGGTGCTGTAAAGGTAGAGGGAGACTTCGGGCGCGATGGCCGCGGCGGTGTCGGTGTCGGGCGCGAAGACAATAAGCGCTCTGCCAGCAGTAGCAGCAGCAGCCATCGCCAGCAGCAGACCGGCGGGATTCAAAAGCCAGCCACATCTCGCGCGGCTTGCCACAGTTTGGATCGCAGAAGGGGCCTAGGGCGAGGGGAGGCAGGGCCGCCGGGGGCCAGCGACGGCGAGGGGTGGCATGCGGTGGCGCTGGACGACGGAGTACAGAGCAGCAGCGGCAGCGACAAGCAGCTAATGCAGGTGGTTGTTCTTGTGTTTGCGGGTGTATGTCTTTAAAACAATTTATTTTTCATAAAGCCCTCTGGTTCGAGCTGCAGTGGTTGAGACAGGGGAGGGATGACGACACAGCAGACACAACAAACAGCAGACCCACGCCGAAAGGCTGGCGAGAGGGAAAAACAGCAGTGTGGCACGGGATCTGCTTCTTGTTGAGGTGTCAGCAGCGCGTCAAGTCTCTACGTTGCTCCTCTCGATTTTTCGCCTGACCTTCGGCGATGATGCCCTATTTTGGCGTATGCATACAGCAGTACATACGAATGAATGTATAGACTATGCCTCTCGCGCTGCTCGCTCAACAAGCGCGCCACCTGTGGTTGGAGGTATTCGGAGATAACACTAGCTTCCCCATGCCGCGGCCAGTACACGATTTACGTGTCCTGTGAGGGGATAACAATGGAGATTTTCGATCGCTGTTTGATGCCACACGCGACGGCCGCACGGGCGATCGGTCACACGGCGTGGTGGTTGGGTGTGTCGTGAGTGGAGAGCGTTCGGTGTGCGTGCATCAAATCCGCCGTTTGCAGTATCTCTTTGTTTCTCAGGGTTGCGGGAAAGCGGGCGCTGAAGAGGCAAGACTTGCTACAAGTGTGCACCACGAACGGAGGAGCTACAATTTCAATCTGCCGCAATCCCTCCCTCACTTACCAAGCTTGCCCTTACTAGCATATTGTAAGCTTTTCGCAGTTTTCTCTGCTATGCGCGGTTGTGCCGTTGATGAGATATCAATAAGCGCAAGACACGCAAACGGTCGCTCGAAATGTAGCCAGCAGCGAACCTACATCGCCGCATAAGGATGAACTTCCACGCAGCGCTATAGGTCCGTGTGCTCACGCGCCGTTGAAAGAGAGACGGACCGCGTGGCGGACCGTGCTAAGAGGATGAACGAACGATCGGTTATTTAATCATGTGTCTGAGACTACCGCGCTGCGTTTGTGATGGCAAAGCCAGCAGCAGCCGTTCCGACTGGTCGACTTTCTATCGATGGTTGTGTTGGAGCTACATGTGTACTTGGAAGATAACTGTAATGACGAAGCAGGAGGGGAGGGAGGGGAACGAAGAGAGCGAGCGCCTGAACGAAAAAAAAAGGCCGGGAGGTATGCATCCGGAGAAGATCATTCCAACGCCTTTCTTCGACACAACCGGACCAATGTTTCCCCGTTGGGCGCCGTTCGGTTGTGCGTGTGTGTGTTTTGAGCCCGAGCCATATCCTTGATCACAACGATGGTTGGATACATGCGCTCTTGGATGATGATGTTTCAGGCGCAGCAGGTGGTGGTGGTCGTTGGCGTCGGTTGTGGTGCTGTCTGTACTGCTACGGCCGCGATCATGACTGCTGTGTATTATTGTACATAGCTGCGGCGGGTATGTATAGGTGTATATACCAGCACGCCCCCTGGCGCCTCCTCGAATACAACCACGTGTTCCCAATGGCGCATCCATTCTGGTGTGTGTGTGTGTGACCCTTGGCTACAGCAGTTGGCGCCCGCTGTATGTACTTCTCAAAGTAATGCTCCCAACAATCGGAAGAACCCAATCCTAAGAGTGCACTCTGACGTACCATTTACTTAGCGGCGATGTCAACTAGCATAGACGTCAGAGGAACTAAAAACCCGTGAGGTTGGGAGTCAGCTAGAGCACAGGGGTGCGAATGATTTTCAAAGCGTAGTTTCTCCACAGCCAGGAGGTTACCACTGCTGTCGCTAAGGGCGGTTTTGGAAAATGTCTCATCGAAGAGAGCTTTCCTGAAAAGTATCAGTAGGCGCTCGCACCCTCCTGGTTGCGGAGAAATAACGCTTTGAAAATCGATCGCACCCCTGTCTGTGCGCTGACTCGTAACCTTGCGGTTTACCGGTGCAAGTATTGGAACACCAGCCTCGTCGCCCAAAAATTGGAGGTTCATAAAGCGCGGGCGCTGAGTGCTCTGCTGTTACTCCACCTGCATTCGCCGCATCGTTTGCAGCGGGACAGAGAGTCCACCACTTGTTTTATTCTCTTCCTGCTCCGCGCGCTTCACACAAACGTGGGCACGAGCTTTTTGTCAACCCCCGCGAGGGGACATGTACACGTTTTTAATTGTACACGGATTTCGGCGGGGTGTACCAGAGAGCCAGCCGCCCATGCGCGTCCTTCCAGCAAGCGCTGCCTCTCACACGCGTACTTCAAGTAAACCTTTGAGACAGTTTTTCTTTTTTTTTACGAGGCCGCACTGGCATATGCATAGGACTACACGTCTTGTACGTCAATTGGTGTCTCCTGTTCGGCCTTTGCCGACCAACACAAGAACAGCAACCACTACCACGGCACCCAAGCCACGTCATACCCGCTGGTCACGGCTGTGCCTTAATCTCTCGCCACTCACTCTCTCGCGTGTTTTTGCTCCGGATCCAGCTGGCGGGGGCGGGGGCGGGGGACGATGCAACACCGTCGGCGGCCGCCAACAACTTGAAGAGTAACAACACCACCACAAGCAGCAGCATCACCAGCTCCACCTTCTCCACCGCCACCGTCGGCGCCACCACCAGCAACATGAAGAAGCAAGTCAGCCGCAGCACCTCTACCATCTCCAGCGCCTCGGTGTCGCACGGCCAGGCGGCGGCTGTTGCCGCCGCGGCGGCGGGGGGCGGAGGCGCGGCAGTGGCGGCGCCGGCGGTGGCCGCCCTGCAGGGCCTCCTGGCCGCCGTGAGGGCGGCTAGGGCCTGTCGCAGGCAGCTGGATGCCCTCTCTGAGATCTGCGACAGCGCGGTGAGAGAGGAGAGAGAGAGAGACAGAGACAGAGACAGAGACAGAGACAGAGACAAGAGACAGAGACAGACAGAGCAAAGAAACGCACACGTGAACCCCTTCGTCGGGCGATATGGTATATGGTACAACCATGTCTTGGTGCTGCTGATGCTACTCAATACCTCCTCCTCCTCCTCCTCCTCCTCCTCCTCCTCCTCCTTCCAGAGAGAATGTCCTCATTTATGGAACAAAGTAGGGAGAAGCTCTTCGGGCAGTACGTATCCGGGCTTCACGGAGGCACCGTGCAACCATTCTTCTCGTCTTGTCGTTCTTTTGTCCATGCACGCTAACGTGGCAATGAGAATGTTGACAGCGGCACCCGTTCTCTTCAGTTCACAATATTTTTAATGGATTGAATCACCCGAGGGCGAACGAACAAACAACCGAGCAAGTGACGAATATAGCAATATTTGTTCGTTTTGCTGTCCCTCCTTCTTTGTGCGCGTGCCTGCTTTCTCTTTCCTGTGTCTCGTCCCTCTCGTTGCCGTCCTTTCCTCTCCGCTAGGTCGCGACGCTCATCGAAGCCTGCCAATCGCCACCGCCGCCAGCACCGACGACTACACCGGCAGCGGCGGCGGCGGCGGCGCTGCTGATGGGCGGCGGAAGCGGCGGAAGCGGCGGCGGCGGCGGCGGCAGCAATGGCGGCGGCAGCGGCGGCGTGGGCGACATCCATGGCAGCGGGAACGGCAGTGATACCGGCGCCGCGTCGCTGGTGGCAGTCGCGGCGGGAGCGGCGCCCGCTCAGCCGCCGGTCTCCCGGAACCTTCGGGCGGCGGCAGAGCTTCTCGGCGCGGAGGTCGTGGGCATCACGGCGCTAGCAGAGGCGTGCTCGCCCCGCGGGATCCTGGAGTCCCTCGCGCTGGCCTCGCGGCGGTACGTGAGCAAGGGGAAGCACGGGGAGGGGGGGCACCGGCGGGGGGGGAGGCACGACGGCGACGCAGGGGGTGGTAAACCGGGGGTTGGAGCGGAGGAGGAGATGAAGGAGGGAGCGGCGGCGGCGGCGGCGGTGGCGGGCGCGGCGGCGGCTGCACCGGTGACGGTGGTAAGCCTGCGCAAGGAGAAGGCGGCCAAGTTCCGGGCCGCCGCGGAGAGGGTAAGGCTTATCGTAGGCCGTCTCGAGGTCTCAAGGGACGTGACGTCGCCGGCGGCGGCGGCGGCGGCAGAGGTGGGCGTGGCAGCGGCGCCCGTGCACGGGGGAGACGTGTCCTTCTTCCCCGCGGCACGAGCCGTGTGGGAGGACGAGGAGGAAGGGGGCGGGGGAGAGGCGGAGCGGGATGACGAGGGCGTCGAGGCGTTTCGAAGCGAGTTCGTTGAGAGCGTCGAGGAGGCCGGGGGCCTGAAGGCGCTGACGCTCAGCTGGACCGGCGTGGCGAGGCTCGAGGAGGCTTTTCTGGCCTGGGTGGTTGAGGTGAGGGAGGGAGGGAGGAAGAGTCGACCCTGGGGGGCGGGGGCATTGTAGACGGGGGGGGGAAGAGCGGCGCGCCTGTTTATGGGGAGGCAGTTGGACTAAAGTGGCGACGTGTTTTTTTGTGGATGGTTGTGCATCGGAGGGCAGTGGTGAACGACCCAGTATTCGTCGTCATTTTGCTACGTTTGTTCTGCAATCGAAGTATCGAATGTTTATGGTGTTGGCTCTGGAGAGTTGAACTTAGCTCAGGTTGTGATACGGAGAGAGTCATATTGTTACTGCTCCTCCTCTCTCCCCCCTTCTCGCGATGCAGCTACAGCAGTATTCCAACTCCGCAATGTATTTTCCCTTAATACAATGTTTCAAAAGCAGAAAGTCTTATTGCTATCGAACTGCCTTCCGCGTGTTGCCTCTCCTCGACGCTTGCCTTGTTGCCGCTCTCGCTGTCAGGCCGGGGGCAACACCGGAACCGACCTCAAGGCCGAGATTCTCCGCGTCTCTTCCCGCGCAGAGGCCCTGGTGAAAGCTGAGGCGCGCCCCCTCGCCGGCCAAGGCTCGTCATCATCGGGGTTCCCCTCCCTTTCCCGACTGCTGTGAGTCAGTCTCTCCTCTTTGTTCCGTCAGCTGACACAATCTCTCATGCGCTACGTGAAGAGGGTTGTTCGTCGGAACAAAAAATCTACATTAGTTGTGTGCTCGGCGGAAGGTGTTCGTTTCTCGAAGCAGGATAAGTGGCGCCGACTGATTTACCAATCAAACTACCGGAGCAGCTCATAGTTGTGGACCAGTCTCACGCAGGTTTCGTATG